TAACCAGGTGTGGTGCACACCTGTAGTCCCAGCTACTCAGGAGGCTGAGGTGGGAGGATCACTTGAGTTCAGAAGTTAGAGGCTGCAGTGAGCTATGACTGTGCCACTGCACTCCAGCCTGGATGACAGAGTGGGACCCTGTCTCTTAAAAAAAAATTGGCCAGACTTGGTGGCTCAGCTTGTAATCCCAGCACCTTGGGAGGCCAAGGGAAGTGGATTGCCTGAGCCCATGGGTTCGAGACCAGCCTGGGCAATTTGACGAGACCTCGTCTCTACAATAAATCAAAAATTAACCGGGTGTGGTAGCACACGCCTGTAGTTCCAGCTACTTGGAAGGTTGAGGTGGAAGGATCGCCTGAGTTCAGCAGGTTGATGCTGGGATGACCATGAGCGTGCCACTGCACTCCAGCCTGGGCGACAGAGTGAGACTCTGACTCAAAAAAAAAATTATGCTACATACACATGACATACAATTTGCCATCTTAACCATTTTTAGATGCCCAATTCAGGGGTGCTAAGGACATCTATAATGTTGAGTAGCCACCACCACCCTTCCTGTCCAGAACTTTCCATCCTTCCAAACAGACCCTCTGTCCCATGAAACACACTCTCGTCCCCTCTTTGGTCCCTGGTGCCTTCTGTGTTCCACTTTCTGTCTCAGTGAGTTTGCCGGTTCTAGGGACCGCCTATAACTGGGAACATGTAGTGTTTGTCCTTTTGTTTTTGGCTTATTTCACTCAGTATCATGTTCTAGCATGTGCTGGAATTTCCTTCCTTTTTTTTTTTTTTTTTGAGTCGGGATCTCACTCTGTCACCCACACTGGAGTGCAGTGGCACCATCACACCTCACCACAGCCTCTATCTCTTGGGCTCAGGCGATCCTCCCACCTCAACCTCCTGAGTAGCTGAGACTACAGGCACCACCATATCTGACTAATTTGATTTTTTTGTAGAAATGAGGTTTCACTGTGTTGCCCAGGCTGGTCTCAAACTCCTGGTCTCAAGCGATCCTCCTGCCTCAACCTCCCAAAGTGCCAGGATTTTAGGCATTAGCCACCATACCCAGCCTGCATCTGACTTCTTGAGGACCCACTACGCTGCCTCCCACAGTGGCTGCACCCTTCCACATTCCCTCTGGCAGCGTGTGGAGCTCTGGTTCCTCTGCCCATCACCCACACTCAGTCCCTGTTCTTTATGACAGCTGTGTGTTGTCTGTCCTATGGACCGTAGCCATCTCCCCGGTCCCTGTGGACAGACACCAGTTGGCCACGGATGCCGCCATGATGCTCATCCCTGCACATTCATGCTTTGCATGTGCTACCAGGTGCCCTGTGCCAAGGCTGACTTGTCCCCCCGTCTCTCTCCTTGCAGCTTCTGCCTGTGTTTGAACAGAGCCTGGAACCGCGCGGAGACCCTGCAGCCCCAAGAGATGGGAGGTCCCCAGGAAGGCTGGGATGGTGCCCCTCTCCTGCTGCCCACTGTGTCCCCCCAGGGCCCCCTGCAGCTCCGGGACCTGACCACCTGCTCCCTGCCCCGGGGAGTGTGCATCTATCTGGACCCCCGGGAGGCCGAGCACCTGGGCACCTCCTCCCCGCTGCACTTCCATCATAAACACGCACGGCTGCAGGCGCTGGAGGCCACGGCCAAAGTCCTCAAGCTCCGGGTCGACGCCCTCACTGCCAAGTTGCACAGGCCCGAGGCAATGGATGCTGGCAGGGGCCCGGCCTCCCACCTGCTAGGCTCTGACCTGCTAGCTTCCGACCTGCTGGCCTCGGGCCCCAGCTGCATGCCTGCCACTCCCACCCTCCACGCCCCAGCCTGCTCTGGAAACTTGACGCACGATGGAGATGGCAGGGCACCTCTGGACTGGGCAGATGTGCAGGCCCAGCCTCTTCTCCCCTCCAGCTGTTTCCTGGATGGTGAGACACCCCTGTGGAGCCCCAGCTGGGAGCAATCATGGAGCTTGAGCCCGAGAGCAGCCCATGAGCCCAGGCCCCAAGGTAGGGTTGGCAACCAGGCCGTGAGGGACCTGGTAGCCGAGGAGGTCCTCTGGGCTGGGAGCAGCCAGGACCCCATTTTTCTTCTGCCCCTCAGTTCCCCCTCTGGAAAGGGGAGCAGGAGGACAGTCGTGGGGACTGAGGGTGACAGGGGCTGATCCTCTAGTATAGCACAGTCATTGTCACTATCTTGTCCTCTGGTGGGACAGGGATGAGGCTGCCCCAGTGGCTCCACACCTGCTGCCTCCCTACCTCCCACAGGAGCCAGAAGGGTGGGCCAGGCACCCCGGGCCTGGCACCCGAGGCCCACGGGGTCCATATCAGTTATGACTCAGGACCCAACTGTGGGTGTCTCGGGCACCCCATCCCTTGCTCCCCACCAGGCAGCCACTCCTTCCACCGTCAGCTCACGTGAGTGAAGTCACACTGTCCTTTTCCTGAAGGTTTCATGGAGAAGGGACACGTGGAACTGGACAAGAATGTGGTCTCCTTCCAGGCCCTGGGTGCCCCCATGGGGAGGTAAGCCTGTGAGCTCCCTCTTGGGGCCTGGCCGTGCCACGAACCATCCGGGCTGCCCCTCCATCCCCCAGCCTCTCTCCCTCGCACTGGTCTGGAGGCCAGGGATGTGGGTCCAGCCCACTTGTCTCCTGGGCCTGGATGGTCATACTGGCTCTGATGCTGGCCAGGGCAGGGGAGGCCCCATGACCAGCAGTGGCCCCCAGACACCTTGTGTCTGGGCTGTGAGCAGTGGGCCCTCAACCCAAGCCCCCCGCTGCGGAGTAGGGGAGCTCCCAGGACAGACACTCCCTTGTTCTGGCTCTGAGCCCTCAGGAAAAGCCATTGGTGTGGCTCTTGGCAGACTGTGTCCAGAGGACCTGGTGTGTGCTGCCTTTGTCCTCCCAGCCTCCTGTCTAAGTTTTGGGACCACCTGTCGGTAGATGCTTGCCTTTCTCCCGGCTTCTGTCCCCAGCACTGGCTGCAACCTTCTCTGAGGGAATGTCACACAGGTGCACTTGAAGCCCTTTCCCCAGAGGCACTGCCTCTGGCCCCAGTCCCCTCCTATCCTAAACTCCCTCCCCCTGGGGAAAAGCATCTGTCCTGGCTGAGCCCTACAGACCCATGGAAGCCCAGACTGCAGCGGGGCCCGGGAGCCTTTGTCCACTAGGGGGCTCTGCGGGAGAAAATGGGTCCAGATGCTCAGACCTAAGGGTCTGTGTTAGAGACCAGCCCCTTGTGAATATCCTCAACTTGATTTCACAACTGTAGCCTTGAGGGTCTTTCCCAGGGTTCATGGGTCTTTTCTTTGGAAAAACTCCTCTGTCACCCTCCCCCAGAATATTCCTTCAGACCCTTCACCTGCCGGCTGGTCCCTCATTCCCATGCAGGAGTAAGCCTGGGTCCCTGTCTAAGGCCTCAGAGCCAGCAGTGTCCCCAGTCCCCCGAGCCTTCTTTCCAAGACCCCCTGCTCACCACGGGCCCCTCCCAGTCCCTCTCACCTTTCTGTCCTCTGATGGAAGTCCTTGGACTAGGGACTCCGCCTGACTGGGCAGCTGCTCCCTGGGCAGCCCAGGGACCCAGGCTGGAAGACTCGGGCAGGCCAGGGGCATCTTGGAGTCACCTTTGCCCAGGATCAGTGCTCAGCAGGGGCCCACTGAGATGTCCCTGGGCATCGGGGGCTTTGTCACCACCCACCTCACCCAGGCTGTCCTGGGCTTGGCAGAGATGCCAAGAAAGCAGACACTATGCGCAGAATTAGCGCACTGGGTGGGGACTGTGGTCAGGGTGGCCGTCCTCACAGAATCCAAATGGGGGGTGACTTTTCCAACTTTGAGTTTTTCTCACATCTGGGGGAGGGGGCCTGATGTGCCCCCTCCACATGGGGCTGCCCCAGGACAGGGGCTCAGGCCTTGTCCCAGCTCTGTCACTTGAAGCTGTTTTGACCTTGAGCAAAGTCACATCCACCCCCCAGCCACAGCCTGAACTCTCCCTGGGAGTTAGGGGTGATGGTGTGCACACCCCTCCAAGGGAGGGTGATTCCCAGGGAGGTGTTCGGTCCCTTCCCCTCCCCCCTCCGTCTCCTCCCCCTCTCCACCCCTCTCCTCTTCTGCTGGGACATTTTCCTGGCCCAATGCCTCCCTGCCCATCCCCCTGTGAAACCCCCACCACCTCTCTTTCCTGAAGCCCTCCTTACCCTCAGGAACTCATGGGCTTGGTACTTGCGCCCGGTGCTTGCAACCAGGTTCTCTGTACCCTGCCCACTGCCTGGGCTCAGTCCAGTCCCTGAAATTGAGTTGTTTTTGTGACCAGCAGGGGGCAGCATTGGGCTGGATGTCGCCTTCCTACTAACAGGCTTCTCTCCCCATCCGGCCCTTGAGAAGGGGGTGGGAGTGAGAATTTTTGAAGAGGTTAATTTCAGCCCAAGGGCTCCCAGGTGGACCAGCCAGACCTGTCCTCACAGGCCAGACCCAGGCCCAAAGTTCTCCGAGATCCTGGCACAGCCTTGATTCTGGCATAGCCTCCATCTAGCCGGAGGGGCGAGGCCGAGGCTGGGGCTCCCCATGGCATTCCCACCCTGGATGGTCCTACCTGGGGCTGGACACTGGGCTGCACCTTCCCCTTCACCCACAGCCCCGGGAAGCTGCCCTGAAAGGACCCCGGACTCTTGGAGAGCTGGATTAGGGAGGCTGCTAGAGGATTGCCTGGCCCTCTCAGTGTGTCTGTCCATACTTGGGGAGGCTAGGACTAGGGACCTGACTGTTTCCTCTAAAATAGCAGCTGTTGGCCAGATGTGGTGGCTCATGCCTGAAATCCTAGCATTTGGGGAGGCTGAAGCAGGAGGATGACTTGAGCTCAGCAGTTGGAGACCAGCCTAGGCAACACAGTGAGACCTCATCTCTACAAATGATTAAAAATATCAGCCAAGTATGGTGTTGCATGCCTGTAGTCCCAGCTACTTGGGAGGCTAAGGCAGGAGGAGCGCCTGAGCCCAGGAGGTCAATGCTACAGTGAGCCGTGATTGTGCCACTGCATTCCAGCCTGGGCAAAAGAGTGAGTCCCTGACAAAAAAAAAATCAGTCTCCACTCATCGCTTGACAGGTTGGGGCTTTGGAGCTGTGTGTGTCCACCAGCCAGGCCTGGCCTCTGGTGGTTTCACCTGCTGCTTTGAATCTGAGGCCCAAGGTCAGCCTCTGTCTGGTTTGTGGTTTCCCCACATGGTGCACCTCAAGTGCCCCAGATCCTGGGTCTGCCACCTCTTAGGCTGGTTTCTGAATTGGGGTGGAACTGCCACTCTGTTCAGTGGTAGGTGAAGGCTGAGCTGTCACCGGCATCCCATGGTGAGGGACCCTGGGGCTTCTGACCCACCATGCACTGGGCATGGGCCCCAGGACGCCCCCCACACTCTGGCATCTCTAGTCTAGTCCCTAAAGGACTGCTTCGGTTTCTGGAACACTTCCAGGCCTGGACACCTCGTTGAGGCTTCAGCATTCCTATAACATGGGAAGCTCGGGCAGGGGTTGGGCGGTTGGGTCACCACCATACCCCAGGCCCACACAACACTTGGCTCATACAGGTGCCAGAAAACAGCTACCTGTGGATCTGTGGGCCCCACAGGCTGTTGGGGGAGGGCATGTCTGTGTTCCCAGTCTCCATGGGCCCCAGGCTTGGGCAGTATCTCTAGCGGCCCTAGTGGATTCCGGGTTATAGTGTACCTGATGAGAAGTATACAGTGAGATGGGGGCTGAGTACATGCACCCTGTCCATACTCATTGTTCTGCCCCCTCCCCAAGTCCCCTCATCATTTTTTTTTTTTTTGAGTCTGGTATCGCTCTATCACCCAGGTTGGAGTACAGTGGCACTATCACAGCTACTGCAACCTCAACCTTCTGGGTTCAGGCAATCCTCCTGCCTCAGCCTCCTGAGTAGCTGGGACTACAGGTGTGTGCCACCACACCCAGCTAATTTTTTTTTTTTTGAGTTGGAGTCTCACTCTGTC